ACGTGCGTATCAACCCTGGCTAACACCTACATTAACCTCAGTGTTGCACAACCAGGTGGCGCTGCCACCCACAGGGAAGCAGCCAAATCCCGTAAGTACAGAGAACTGGATCACCACTACAATTTTGTCCCCATTGCTTCTGAGACACTCGACGCCTGGGGTAAAAGTGCTACCAGTTTTTTGAAGGAACTAGGTTCTAGGCTCATTGAAACAACAAGGTACCCAAGAGCTGCCAGCTTTCTTTTCCAGCGCCTCAGCGTGGCGATACAGAGGGAAAATGCGCACTGCATTCAGGGTTCCTGCCCGCCATCTGAGGAGCTGGAGGAACTCGACAACCTATGATAACCATCTTTGCACCCTATATGTAACTCTTTTTTGTAACAAAGTTCAAATAAAACAAATATATATATATGTGTGTATATATATATATATATATATATATATATATATATATATATATATATATATATATATATATATATATATAGACACTAACAATAAGTTATGGAGTGCGTATAGCAGGGCAGTCATAAGCTAACCTCAGGGAGAGTCTAGATGAACCAAAAACTCCAGGGAAGACTGACTATATAAAACAGGTTAGGTTATATATAACTAACAATGAGAAAGAAATGGGAAGCATTCTAAATAAGTAAGAGTCTCCATATTTGATGTATTTGAAAACCTGCTGCCCGTTAGTACGTGTGCATACAGTATATATATATATATATATATATATATATATATATATATATATATATATATATATATATATATATATATATATATATATATATATATGTCGTACCTAGTAGCCAGAACGCACTTTTTGGCCTACTATTCAAGGCCCAATTTGCCTAATAAGCCAAGTTTTCCTGAAATAATATATTTTCTCTATTTTTTTTCTTATGAATTGATAAAGGTACCCATTTCAATATGTATGAGGTCAATTTTTTTTTATTGGAGTTAAAATTAACGTAGATATATGACCGAACCTAACCAACCCCACCTAACCTAACCTAACCTATCTCTATAGGTTAGGTTAGGTTAGGTAGCCGAAAAAGTTAGGTTAGGTTATGTTAGGTAGGTTAGGTAGTCTGAAAACACTTTAATTCATGAAAACTTGGCTTATTAGGCAAATCGGGCCTTGCATAGTAGGCTGAGAAGTGAGTTCTGGCTACTAGGTACGACATATATATATATATATATATATATATATATATATATATATATATATATATGTCGTACCTAGTAGCCAGAACGCACTTCTCAGCCTACTATGCAAGGCCCGATTTGCCTAATAAGCCAAGTTTTCCTGAATTAATATATTTTCTCTAATTTTTTTCTTATGGAATGATACAGCTACCCATTTCATAATGTATGAGGTCAATTTATTTTTATTGGAGTTAAAATTAACGTAGATATATGACCGAACCTAACCAACCCTACCTAACCTAACCTAACCTATCTTTATAGGTTAGGTTAGGTTAGGTAGCCGAAAAAGTCAGGTAAGGTTAGGTTAGGTAGGTTAGCTAGTCGAAAAAACATTAATTCATGAAAACTTGGCTTATTAGGCAAATTGGGCCTTGCATAGTAGGCTGAGAAGTGCGTTCTGGCTACTATGTACGACATATACATATATATATATATATATATATATATATATATATATATATATATATATATATATATATATATATATATATATATATATATATATATATGCGGAAAATCCACAGAGAAATATGATAGGAAGTGAACGTTTCTGCCTGTTAAAGCCGTTGTCAACACCAGACTGACTAGTGGAGATAGAGAGAGGATACAAGCCGACACCTGGAACCTGACCCACCCATCTCTAGGGAAAGGATTAACCAGAAACAGGTGCAGCTTAGCTTAGAAAGGTCAAAGAGGAGTAAGCGGTCTGAGAATAAGGATGAAAGATTAAAAGGCTTTTATCCTCTCTATATCTCCTCTAGTCAGTCTGGTGATGACAACGGCTTTAACAGGCAGAAACGTTCACTTCCTTTCATATTTCTCTGTGGATTTTCCGCATATATATATATATATATATATATATATATATATATATATATATATATATATATATATATATATATATATATATATATATATATATATATATATATATATATATATATATATATATATATATATATATATATATATATATATATATATATATATATATATATATATATATATATAGTACCACCTCTGGCTGGAAGAAGGGGGACCCATAGCCTCGGAGGAAACCACACATAACGCATTGGAGGGAATGTGGGTCCCCTCCAATACAGTTTCTGTGTGCTTTTCTCCTACCACCCCCTTCCCTTTTTTTTTTTTTTTTTTTTTTCCTTCCCTTTTTTTTTTTTTTCCTTTATTGTGTATTTAAAGGTTACAAAACATATATATATATATATATATATATATATATATATATATATATATATATATATATTATTAAATATGACCGAAAAAGTAAGATTAATATTTCTAACACGAATTTTCTCAATCTTTCGTACATTTCTTTTCACTGTTGGAGGTAAATCAAAAGTCAATTCTCCAAAATTCATTTTTATTTCTAGTCTGACGCGACACGAGCGCGTTTCGTAAAACTTATTACATTTTCAAAGACTTTAGTTTACAAATACACAACTGAATAGAACTTACGCATCTCCGATTTTATATCTACACTTAAATGAGGTGGATGGGGTGAGGTGGCATTAATAGGGTATTAATTTCATCAACACAAGACAGAACAAGAGGTGGCATTAATAGGGTATTAATTTCATCAACACAAGACAGAACACGAAACAATGGGTATTGAATAGAAGTGTTTGTAGAAAGCCTATTGGTCCATATTTCTTGATGCTTCTATATTGGAGCGGAGTGTTGAGGTGGGTAGAATATAGTTGTGCATTAATTGGGCCCGGATGGGCACATGTATAAGCAAGTAGATGGGGTCGCCATGGGTTCTCCCCTAGGTGTCCTGTTTGCAAACTTCTACATTGGTACCATCGAGCAAAAAGTCTTAGTCGACATGAACTTGAAACCGGCCATATACTGCAGGTATGTTGACGACATTTTTACACAGGTACCTGATGTCAGACATCTGCAGGAGCTGAAGGAGGCATTTGAGCAGAGTTCCGTGCTGCGTTTCACTTACGAGATGGAAAAGGATGGGAAGCTGCCCTTTCTAGATGTAACAGTCATGGAAAAGAGCGGAGGTTTCCACACTGCAGTCTACACTAAGGAAACGAACATAGGAATGTGCCTAAATGCCAACAGCGACTGCCCAGACAGGTACAAGAGGAGTGTTGTTAATGCATAGGTCGACCGTGCTCTCAGCCACAGCTCAGAATGAAAGCAAGTCGACGAAGAACTCTGTAGGGTAAGGCAGGTCCTAGTCAACAACGGCTTCTCCAGTGGTTTCGTCGAAGACATCATAAGAAGGAAAGTGAAACGCCATGCAACCTCTGAAGAGACAACTAACACAACACCTATACCCCCTATTAGACTATTTTACAGGAACTTCTTTTCCACAGCTCATAAAACGGAGGAAAGGGTCCTGAAAGATATTGTTAATAGAAACGTTATCCCTACAAACAAAAATCAGAGGATACAACTGACGATTTACTATAAAACCTGAAAAACGGCCAGCCTACTCATGAGAAACTCTCCAGACACAAAACTGAACGCTTTAAAAGAGACCTACGTCGTCTATGCCTTCAAATGCCCTCTTGGGGACGGTAAGCTCCAAAAAACCCGGTATATAGGCAAGACAATAACATCTCTTTCTAGGCGTTTAACGATGCATAAGCAACAGGGCTCCATTAAGGAACATATAATCTCTTCCCACAACCAAACCATCGCCAGAGAAATCCTAGTAAACAACACAGAAATCATCGATAGATACAGCGATAGCAGGCGGCTTGACGTTTGCGAGGCACTACACATCAAGAAGTCAACACCAGCAATCAACAGCCAATTAATGCACAACTATATTCTACCCACCTCAAGACTCCGCTCCAATATAGAAGCATCAAGAAATATGGACCAATAGGCTTTCTCTAAACACTTCTATTCAATACCCATTGTTTCGTGTTCTGTCTTGTGTTGATGAAATTAATACCCTATTAATGCCACCTCTTGTTCTGTCTTGTGTTGATGAAATTAATACCCTATTAATGCCACCTCACCCCATCCACCTCACTTAAGTGTAGATATAAAATCGGAGATGCGTAAGTTCTATTCAGTTGTGTATTTGTAAACTAAAGTCTTTGAAAATGTAATAAGTTTTACGAAACGCGCTCGTGTCGCGTCAGACTAGAAATAAAAACGAATTTTGGAGAATTGATTTTTGATTTACCTCCAACAGTGAAAAGAAATGTACGAAAGATTGAGAAAATTCGTGTTAGAATTATTAATCTTACTTTTTCGGTCATATTTAATAATATATGTCTACAGGAAAGACTGCTACCAAAATATACTAATATATATATATATATATATATATATATATATATATATATATATATATATATATATATATATATATATATATATATATATATATATATGTATGTATATATATATATATATATATATATATATATATATATATATATATATATATATATATATATATATATATATATATATATATGCAATTGACGATCACAAAACACTGATCATTTTATGCGGAAAATCCAAAGAGAAATATATATATATATAAATATATATATATATATATATATATATATATATATATATATATATATATATATATATATATATATATATATATATATATATATATATATATATATATATATATAACCTGTCGTTTACAGCATCCTTCTATTACAGCTGCTATACTGTCCTCATTTTCCTCTCCAAGTCTTATGTAGCAACGCTGAGTAGGCGCTTTCATCTTATAATTACTAGTTGCCCGAATAATCGACCAGCGTTGTTGCGTTCAGCTTCCACGGGACGAGGGTGAACGTGACCGCTCTGCCCTACACACCGCACTGGGAGGAGCAGATGGTCGTGGCTCCTGACGGCTCCACCACCAAGCAGTACTCGGGCACAGACTATCTCTTACTAGCAACCATAGCGGAGGCGCTCAACTTCACCATCAACGTTCTTCCCACTGAAAACTGGGACGAGGTAGGCAAATATGCTCCAAAAATATCATTATGAAGAAATCGATAGGCTTTATATCCTAAAGTTTTACATCGAAGAACAAATATATATACATCACGTAGGTTTTGTTCCCTAACGCGATGTAGTCTCATTTTTTCTTTAGAAAATAATGACAATAATAATAATAATGATAATAATAATAATAATATTAATAATAATAATAATAATAATAATAATAATAATAATAATAATAATAGAAATTTGAAAATAATAGTGCAAATAATTTTAGGCAATATTAATGGCAACTATGAAAATTATTTTAGAAATAAACACGGAAAAAATAATAATAATGAAGCAAATAATAATAGTAACCAAATTTAACTAATAATATTGATAATATTAATAAAATGATTCCAACAAGAAAAATACAATTTAAAAGACATTTTGTGTAAATTATAATATAGTTACACTTTTGTTATAGATAAATTATTCGCACGCCATTGGCTGTATGTATGGTAATGTTGGTGTGTGATTATGTCACACTGACCATGTGTTGTTACACTGACCATGTGTTGTCACTCTGACCATGTGTTGTTACACTGATCATGTGTTGTCACACTGACCATGTGTTGTCACACTGACCATGTGTTGTCACACTGACCATGTGTTGTTACACTGACCATGTGTTGTCACACTGACCATGTGTTGTTACACTGATCATGTGTTGTCACACTGACCATGTGTTGTCACACTGACCATGTGTTGTCACACTGACCATGTGTTGTCACACTGACCATGTGTTGTTACACTGACCATGTGTTGTTACACTGACCATGTGTTGTCACACTGACCATGTGTTGTTACACTGATCATGTGTTGTCACACTGACCATGTGTTGTTACACTGACCATGTGTTGTCACACTGACCATGTGTTGTTACACTGATCATGTGTTGTCACACTGACCATGTGTTGTCACACTGACCATGTGTTGTCACACTGACCATGTGTTGTCACACTGACCATGTGTTGTCACACTGACCATGTGTTGTTACACTGACCATGTGTTGTCACACTGACAATGTGTTGTCACTCTGATCATATGTTGTCATACTGATCATGTATTGTCACTATGATCCTGTGTTGTCACTCTGATCATGTGTTCTCATGCTGATCATGTGTTGCCATACCGACCATATGTTGTCTCTGATCATATGTTGTCACTCTGATCATGTGTTGTCACTCTGATCATATGTTGTCATACTGATCATGTGTTGTCACACTGACCATGTGTTGTCACTCTGATCATGTATTCTCATGCTGATCATGTGTTGCCATACTGACCATATGTTGTCTCTGATCATATGTTGTCACTCTGATCATGTGTTGTCACACTGATCATATGTTGTCACTGATCATGTGAGGTCATACTGATCATGTGTTGTTACACTGATCATGTGTTGTCACACTGACCATGTGTTGTCACACTGATCATGTGTTGTCACACTGACCATGTGTTGTTACACTGATCATGTGTTGTTACACTGATCATGTGTTGTCACACTGACCATGTGTTGTCACACTGATCATGTGTTGTCACACTGACCATGTGTTGTCACTCTGATCATGTGTTGTCACTGATAATATGTTCTCACTCTGATCATGTGTTGCCACACTGATCATGTTTTGCCACACTGATCTTGTGTTGCCACACTGATCATGTGTTGTCACACCGATCTTGTGTTGCCACACTGATCATGTGTTGTCACACTGATAATGTGTTGTTACACTGATCATGTGTTGCCACACTGATCATGTGTTGCCACACTGATCATGTGTTGCCACACTGATCATGTGTTGTCACACTGATCATGTGTTGCCACACTGATCATGTGTTGTCACTCTGATCATGTGTTGCCACACTGATCATGTGTTGCCACACTGATCATGTGTTGTCACTCTGATCATGTGTTGCCACACTGATCATGTGTTGTCACTCTGATCTTGTGTTGCCACACTGATCATGTGTTGCCACACTGATCATGTGTTGTCACACTGATAATGTGTTGTTACACTGATCATGTGTTGCCACACTGATCATGTGTTGCCACACTGATCATGTGTTGCCACACTGATCATGTGTTGCCACACTGATCATGTGTTGTCACTCTGATCATGTGTTGCCACACTGATCATGTGTTGCCACACTGATCATGTGTTGCCACACTGATCATGTGTTGTCACTCTGATCTTGTGTTGCCACACTGATCATGTGTTGCCACACTGATCATGTGTTGTCACTCTGATCATGTGTTGCCACACTGATCATGTGTTGTCACTCTGATCTTGTGTTGCCACACTGATCATGTGTTGCCACACTGATCATGTGTTGTCACTCTGATCATGTGTTGTCACTCTGATAATGTGTTGTTACACTGATCATGTGTTGTTACACTGATCATGTGTTGTCACTCTGATCTTGTGTTGCCACACTGATCATGTGTTGCCACACTGATCATGTGTTGCCACACTGATCATGTGTTGCCACACTGATCATGTGTTGTCACTCTGATCATGTGTTGTTACACTGATCATGTGTTGTTACACTGATCATGTGTTGTCACTCTGATAATGTGTTGTTACACTGATCATGTGTTGTTACACTGATCATGTGTTGTTACACTGATCATGTGTTGTCACACTGATCATGTGTTGTCACACTGATCATGTGTTGTCACACTGATCATGTGTTGTCACACTGATCATGTGTTGTCACACTGTTCATGTGGTGTTACACTGATCATATGTTGTCACACTGTTCATGTGTTGCCATACTGATCATGTGTTCTCATGCTGATCATGTGTTGCCATACTGACCATATGTTGTCTCTGATCATATGTTGTCACTCTGATCATGTGTTGTCACACTGATCATATGTTGTCACTGATCATGTGTGGTCACACTGATCATGTGTTGTCACACTGATCATGTGTTGTCACACTGACCATGTGTTGTCACACTGATCATGTGTGGTCACTGATAATATGTTCTCACTCTGATCACGTGTTGTCACACTGATCATGTGTTGTCACACTGATCATATGTTGTCACAATGATCATGTGTTGTCACACTGATCATGTGTTGTCACACTGATCATGTGTTGTCACACTGATCATGTGTTCTCACACTGGTCGTGTGTTGTCACACTGATCATAATGGCTTACACCTGATCCAATATTGTACCATTACCATGCCTAATTATACTGATTGTGGTGCGTGTCACTGATTCATCATGTTCTCTCACTCTGATTTTTCATGTGGTGTCAAGCCACATGTTAATTCTGTCACACTTTTCGTTGTGTCAGACTGGTCGTATAGTTTTACAATAATCACGTGGTATCACACTAACAAATGTAATGTTACAGTTGACTATATAGTGTCAACATGATCCCACACTGATCATCACTTTGGGATCACATTGACCATATGAGATTCCACTTACCCAACCCGTCTTCACATCCATAATACCTATGTCACATATTGTTTAAAGTTTCTATACTGCTGATGATGACAGTTTGCCTAGAGAAGGTGTCCAGTTATTGGCTGTCACCAATCATTCCTTTTGTTGTTGTTTCAGATTTAGCTACTCGGAACGAAGTGTCCATGTAGCACGGGCTATGGCGAGCCCGTAAAATCATTCCTTATTTTAGCATTAATGAATCTTTTTAGGACTAATAATTTAGATTTGAGTACAGTTTACAGTGCTGTTATAGGCTACAGTGGGAGCAGAACAATCTGTTTGCCAAAATTGTAATGGTAATTGAGTTCTTCCAGTCCCACTTCATGAGTGAAATTTATGATAGACTGGCAAGAAAATTTCAGGCACATGGAATAAAGGGAAGAATACTAGACTGAATAAAACAATGGTTAAAACAAAGAATACAAAGGAGTCGTGCTTAACGGGAATGAATCTGATTGGAGAAATGTGGTAAGTGGGGTACCCCAGGGGTCCATTTTGGGGGAAACCCTTTCTGTCATATTCATCAGTGACATTGATGAGAATATTAAAAAACCACATCCATAAATTTGCAGATGACAAATATTTATGGTAAAGTGGAAAATAATAATTATGTTGAAGTCTTAGAAAGAGATCTGCAGGAACTCCACAAATGGTAAAAGTTGTTAATAACGACAAATGCACGACCATGCATGTGAGGCATAATAATCCACGCCACAACGACCAAATTAATAACATTACATTACAACAGATTGACGAAGAAAAGGATCTTGGAGTCAAAATCCAACACTCAGTGAAAGTTGCACAGCAGATAGGATTCGCAGTTAATAAAAGCTAAACAAACAGTTGGAGCAATCAAGCCTATTTGACTTAAAGGAACAGACTTTAGTGATTAAATTATATAAATCTCTGGTGCGCGACCTTTGGATTTCTGTATCCAAGCATCTTTAGGACAAAGCTGCTGTGGAGAAAGTGCAACACCGGGCAACAAAAATCATTGTTAACTCTCGTATCAGGAACGGTTCAGGACCACAGGGCTAACAACACTGAAAACGAGACATGACAGGGCGGATCGCATTGAAACTTTTTAAATACCGATCAGTTTGAATAATGTTGATCCGGAAAATTCCTTCAAAAAGTCAGTTGTGACGCAAACAAGGAACGATGGTTTCAAGCTTACAACCCACAATGTAGGGCAGAACAGGAGATACTTTCTAACCCACATGGTAATAAATCTATGAAACCACCTACCAGCCGAAGCCGTATTTAACAAAAACACTTTTAACTTTCAAAGTACAGCTGGAAAAGATTAATAAGGCAAATGAGGGGACCTTCGACAAGTCGCCAGCTTCCTGTCCTCGATGAGGTCTGTCGGGTCTGCACTCCCCAACAGCATCGCTGGCGACGTAGAACCTTCCCGAAATCACACTAAAGCCTCCTGGCCTACAGTAATTAAGTCTAGGACTAGGGAAGTCAGTAAAAAATCACCAGTTTACTGGGGCATAC